CCGTCTTGGGGGCCTCTTGGGCGGTCTTGGGGGCCTCTTCGACCGTCTTGGAACGTTGGAAGCATGAAATGGTGAGAAGGCCAAAAACTGGGGAAAAGAAACAACAAAAAAATTAGGTTCTCCGGGCGCTCTCGGGAGACCTCTCGGAGCTCTCTTGAGGTCTCTTGGAGGCCTCATGGGAGCCTGGAGAGCCGCCCGAAAGCTATCCTGGGTTACTTGGGAGCGTCTTGAGCCGTTCTTTTACGTTCTGGGGGCTTCTTGGTGTCGTCTTGGGCTGTCTTTGGGCATTGTGGGGGCTCCCCGGGAGGCCGGGAAGCGCGGTACCGCGAGCGTACACGAGATGTAAGCGAAGTGGAGGACGCCCCCAGAGGGGGCCCGGCGTATTTGTTCATATTATATATAACACCGTCGCCGTACTAATCCAGGGGCCCAAGAGGCTTGAAGGGTGCTTTTCGGAAGCAATGTTGATCCCTCTTGGCAGCTGTTTTAGCGTCTCTTGGGGTCTCTGAGGGGCCTCTTGGGGAGCTGGGGCCTATTGGGGGCCTCTGTCGGGGTCCTGGGGGGCAGTTTGGGGGCCCCCTTGGGCCGTCTTTGTTTATCAATCTGCAGAGGTCTCGCTCTGACCAGTCTCTCCCGTGACAAGACCGCACGTGGGCAAAGACGGCCACAGCACGAAGCGGCCGCTCCGCCCAAGTGCACCCAAACGTTCAGGTCCAGGAGTCGGAACGCAGGAGAAGCATTAATTAAGTACACATACCGCTGCGCCGCGGACATTGCCCTGGACAGGTCACAGCCAGCATGCTTACACAAGACTGAAAACGCAGAATACAACCTCGACAATGCCTGAGCTGGCACGACGCACAATGCACTCACTCACTCACTCACTCACTCACCATTCGTCTCTAGTGCGGCAGCACATCCTGGTCACCCATGATACACAGCAGCTCTCCCCTCAGTAGCAGCCCGTGTTGTTGTACCTGCACGGCTGGTCCTCGAAGCAGCACAGGCCGGGGCAGCTGGAGTCGTAGACGATGGGCAGGTCCTTGTTGATACCCTCCACGTCCTTGCACTCGGCGTCGTTCGTGGGCGTCCTCACCTTCTGCTGCGCCAAGGCTGCGGAGTAGCAGCCCGTGTTGTTGTACCTGCACGGCTGATCCTCGAAGCAGCACAGGCCGGGGCAGCTGGAGTCGTAGACGATGGGCAGGTCCTTGTTGATACCCTCCACGTCCTTGCACTCGGCGTCGTTCGTGGGCGTCGTCAACTTCTGCTGCGCCAAGGCTGCGGAGTAGCAGCCCGTGTTGTTGTACCTGCACGGCTGGTCCTCGAAGCAGCACAGGCCGGGGCAGCTGGAGTCGTAGACGATGGGCAGGTCCTTGTTGATACCCTCTACGTCCTTGCACTCGGCGTCGTTCGTGGGCGTCCTCACCTTCTGCTGCGCCAAGGCTGCGGAGTAGCAGCCCGTGTTGTTGTACCTGCACGGCTGGTCCTCGAAGCAGCACAGGCCGGGGCAGCTGATGTCGGAGACTATGGCAGGTTTATTGTTGATCCCTCCACGTCCGGTGCACATTCGTCCGTTCGTGGGCGTCTCACCTTCTGCTTGCGCCCATAGGCTGCGGAGTAGCAGCCCGTGTTTGTGTACCTGCCCGGCTGGGTCCTCGAAAGCAGCACAGGCCGGGGCAGCTGGAGTCGCCGTGACATTCGGCCTCCTTGTTTGATACCCTTTCACGGCCTTGCACTCGGCGTCATTCGTGGGCGTCGTTCTCACCTTCTGCTGCGCCAAGGCTGCAGAATAGCAGCCCGTGTTGTTGTGCCTGCAGGGCTGGTCCTCGAAGCAGCACCGGCCGGGGCAACATGAGTCGTAGACGATGGGCAGGCCCGTGTTGATGTCCTTCGCGGCCCTGCACTCGGCGTCGTTCGCGGGCGTCGTCCTCACCTTCTGCTGCGCCATGGCTGCGGAGTAGCAGCCCGTGTCGTTGTACCTGCGCGGCTGGTCCTCGAAGCAGCACAGGCCAGGGCAGCTGGAGTCGTAGACGATGGGCAAGCCCGTGTTGATGCCCTTCACGGCCTTGCACTCGGCGTCGTTCGTGGGCGTCGTCCTCAACTTCTGCTGCGCCAAGGCTGCGGAGTAGCAGCCCGTGTTGTTGTACCTGCACGGCTGGTCCTCGAAGCAGCACATGCCGGGGGCAGCTGGAGTCGTAGACGATGGGCAGGCCCGTGTTGATGCCCTTCACGGCCTTGCACTCGGCGTCGTTCGTGGGCGTCTTCCTCACCCTCTGCTGCGCCAAAGCTGCGGAGTAGCAGCCTGTGTTGTTGTACCTGCACGGCTGGTCCTCGAAGCAGCACAGGCCAGGGCAGCTGGAGTCGTAGACGATGGGCAAGCCCGTGTTGATGCCCTTCACGGCCTTGCACTCGGCGTCGTTCGTGGGCGTCGTCCTCAACTTCTGCTGCGCCAAGGCTGCGGAGTAGCAGCCGCCCATGGTGCCAGCAACTGCTGGTTCCTCTCGAAAGCAGCGACAAGGGCCGTGGGCAGCTGGAGTCTCGACGATGGGTCAGGCCCGTGTTGATGCCCTTTACGGCCTTGCACTCGGCGACGTTCGTAGGGCGTCCGTCTCACCTTCTGCCGCGCTAAGGCGCGGATTTATCATCCCGTGTTGTTGTACTGCACGCTGGTCCTCGAAGCAGCACGGCCAGGTCAGCTGGAGTCGTAGACAGGGCAGGCCCGTGTTGATGCCCTTCACGGCCTGGCACTCGGCGTCGTTCGTGGGCGTCGTCCTCACCTTCTGCTGCGCCAAGGCTGCGGAGTAGCAGCCCGTGTTGTTGTACCTGCACGGCTGGTCCTCGAAGCAGCACAGGCCAGGGCAGCTGGAGTCGTAGACGATGGGCAGGCCCGTGTTGATGCCCGGCACGGCCTTGCACTCCGCGTCGTTCGTGGGCGTTGTCCTCGTCATCTGCTGCGCCAAGGCTGCGGAGTAGCAGCCCGTGTTGTTGTACCTGCACGGCTGGTCCTCGAAGCAGTACAGAAAAAAACACAGAAGGCCGTGGCAACTGGAGTCGTAGAGATGGGGCAGTACCTCCTGTTGAGCCCTTCACGCCTTGCACTCGGAGTCGTTCGTGGGCGTCGTCCTCCACTCTTCTGCTGACGCCAAGGCTGCGGAGTAGCAGCCCGTGTTGTTGTACCTGCACGGCTGGTCCTCGAAGCAGCACAGACCGGGGCAGCTGGAGTCGTAGACGATGGGCAGGCCCGTGTTGATGCCCTTCACGGCCTTGCACTCGGCGTCGTTCGTAGGCGTCGTCCTCACCTTCTGCTGCGCCAAGGCTGCGGAGTAGCAGCCCGTGTTGTTGTACCTGCACGGCTGGTCCTCGAAACAGCACAGGCCAGGGCAGCTGGAGTCGTAGACGATGGGCAGGCCCGTGTTGATGCCCTTCACGTCCTTGCACTCGGCGTCGTTCGTGGGCGTCGTCCTCACGCTCATTTGCTCATGCCGATTCAGCTGCATCATCTGCGAGCTCTTCTGGAGCATGCCCGTGTCATCCTGCTCTCCGGCGGCGCACTGCTGCCCTACAGCGCAGGAAGCTTGCGGGCCCGAAGCGTGCGCGAGTGCCAGCAGCGAGGCCGCAGCGATGAGGAGCGCCATCGGCTGCAGACTGTAGTCTTTCTCGCTTCTAGCAAAACAAAGACAGGCGCACTTGAGCCAAAATCGCGTGAGCCAGAATGGCTTGAGCCAAAATGGCTACGGAGGGGCCCCCTTGGGCCGTCTTGGGCGCCTCTTGGGCCGTCTTGGAGCCCTTTTGGGCCGTCGTGAGGGCCTCTTGGGCCGACTTGGGCCGTCTTGGGGCGATCTGGAGCTGGAGGGCATTTGGGGTCATCTTGGAGCGTCGGGAAGGCAAGAAGTTGTTAATGCTGAAAACGTACGTTTTACGAAAGGAAGTTGGCGATTTGGGCCTCTTGGGGCTCCCTCGGGAGGCCTCTCTCTTGGGGTGTCTTGGGGCGAAAAACAAAGCCTCTGGAACTGTCTTGAGGCCATCGTGGGCGTCTTGTAGCCCTCTTGGCCCAGCTTGGGGCCCTCTGGAGCCATCAGGAGCCGTCTTGCGCCCTCCAGGCGCGCTCGGGAGTTTTCTGTACGGGTACTCATTGCATTAGTACAGTGTCAAGCACCCACCCACCCCCCAAAAAAGCCTCCCTGCTCCCGTCGCATCCCGCAGTCCCGTCCCCGCCCCTGCTCCCTTGGTGCTCCTCCCTGGAGGGCGGCTCCCGCAGATGCTTGCGGATCTGGCGGCCGATGCTGTCAAACTCAACGAACAACTCCTCGAGCGTGAGGCGCGGCACCTGCCGGGCTGCGAGTTCTGAGCTCACGCGGTGCCTGTGCTGCGGGCTTGCCCCCGATACCAGGAAGCATAGAGCAACGCGGCAATATGATGGATCTCCACTTGGACGATTCGAGCAAATCGGACCAGGCCAGAGCCTCGCCCAACCACTCCTGCCAAGCCGCTCTCACTGCTCGACGCAGCCCAGGACTGCTCCTTGATGCGCGCGCGCATGGCCAGCGCGGAGAGTGAACCTCCCTGGTGCGCTCAAATGTACGGCCCTTGCGTCATAGCTGATCGCATCAAAACTCACGCCGTAGCCAAAAACCATCTCGGCACAAACATATGCGACCGACAGACCGCGAATCTGCACACACGAGACGGTCTGGGAGAGGGCTCCCGAGACACGAGGCGTACCGACACGAACTGCCCACAATATGGGAAAGCTGATCAGAAGTCACATCCAAATAAGCTCCCAATAACCTCCTCCTCCTCCTCCTCCTCTTCCTCCTCCTCCTCCTCCTCCTCCCCCCTCCCCCCTCCCCCCTCCTCCTCCCCCCATCCATCGAAGAGCCCTCCGTTTCAATAAGTCGCTCCCAAAACGGTCAAACACCCTGACTCAACAGACTCCCATCAACCCTTCTCTGGAGCATTGCCGTCGAAATAGCCTTGTAACAGCCACTGAGCAGCCTCCAGGAAAAGCGGCTTGCGGTCCAGGAGAAGAGGCCGCGGGAGGAGCAGGGAGGAGGATGGGGGGGGACGAGGGGAGGAGGAGGAGAAGGGAAGGGGGCAGGAGGCAGGAGGAGGAGGAGGAGGAGGAGGAGGAAAAGGAGGAGAGGACGAGGAGGAGGAGGAGGAGGAGGAGGAGGAGGAGGAGGAGGGGAGGGGGAGGGGGGAGGAGAGGGGGAGGGGGGAGGAGGGGGAGGAGGGGAGGAGGCGGAGAACTGCCAGAAGGAGAGGAAGAGCAGGAACGGGAAAGGGAGGACGGAGGGAGGAGGACGAGGAGCATGAGCAGGGGGGCGGGATCGCACTGCCCCTGTGGTTCAACCTGCCCTGGAGGGGCGGGGGGGGGGGGGCAGGGCGGGTGATGGGGGGGGGGCCTCCCTTGCCTCCTCGTCTTCTGCTCCTCCTCCTCCTCCTCCTCCTCCTCCTCTCCTCCTCCTCCCTCCGCCACCTCCTCCCCCCTCCTCCCCCTCCTCCTCCTCTCCTCCTCCTCCTCCTGCTCCCTCCTCTCCTCCTCCTCCTCCTCCTCCTCCTCCTCCTGCTCCCTGCTCCTGCTCCTCCTCCTCCTCCTCTCCTCCTCCTCCTCCTCCTCCTCGTCCCTCCTCCTCCTCCTCCTCCCCATCTCCATCTCCTCCTGCCTCCCTCCTCCTCCTCCTGCTCTTCCTGCTGCTCCTCCTCCTCCTCCCTCTCCTCCTCCTCCTCCCTCCTCCCCCTCCTCTTCCCCGTCCTCCTCCGTCTCCTTCTCTCTCCCTCCCCGCCCTCCCCTCCATCCCCGCCCTCCCTTCCCCTCCCCATTCACAATTACACCTTATGAATTCTACTCTCCTCTCTCCCCTGATGACGTCTGAAGATGTTCGCCCCCCCCCCTCCGCGTACTGCGTTTTGACACACATGATTCCCGGGATCTGGGTTTTCGCTTGGGTTTGTTCTCAAAATGCTGACCCCGCTGAGGCGCTGGCCTTATATTCGGGCTTCCGCTCGTTCCGAATCGTGATCCCGCTGCAGCGCTGGCCTCATTTCCGCGCTTCCGCTCGTTCCGAATCGTGTTCCCGCTGCAGCGCTGGCCTCATGTCCACGCTTCCGCTCGTTCCGAATCGTGCTCCAGCTGGAGAAGGACTTCGCAGAAGGCGGCGGGGCTTCTCAGAAGCCCTCGGGCCTTCTGAGAATCTGATTTGGTGTGTGTCGTCGTCGGGGACAGTCTCAGAAAACTCCTTACAAGGCCCGAGGTCTTCCGAGGCTTCTGAGAAGGGCCGCTCCCTTCTCGCTTCAACCCCCCCTGGGCTCGCCGCCGACTAGAGAGCCGTGAGGAGGAGGAGGAGGAGGAGGAGGAGGAGGAGGAGGAGGGAGGAGGAGGAGGAGGAGGAGGAGGGAGGAGGAGAAGGAGGAGGAGGAGGGGGAGGAGTGCCCCTGGTGAGCGGCCGTCCCAAGGCCTGGCCCAGGGGAGGGGCGGTGTTCTCGAGGCTTGCGCGGAGCGCAGGCCGCCCTCGACAGGCGCAACGGCAGACGTCCCCGATGCCTTCAGCCTTCAGCATGCCTTCTCACCTCCCCCTTCGTATCCTCTTCATCCTCCTGCCTCCTCCTCCTCATCCTCATCCTGCTCCTCATCCTCCTCCTCCTCCTCCTCCTCCTCATCCTCATCCTCATCATCATCATCATCATCATCATCATCATCATCATCATCATCATCATCATCATCATCATCATCATCATCTCATCATCATCAGCATCATCATCATCATCATCATCATCATCATCATCATCATCATCATCATCATCATCATCACAATCATCACAGCACATCAGCATCAGCATCATCATCATCATCATCATCATCAGCATCACATCATCATCATCATCATCATCCTCATCCTCAGCATCATCATCATCACATCATCATCATCATCATCATCATCAGCATAATCACCATCATCATCATCATCATCATCATCATCATCATCATCATAATCATCATCATCATCATAATCAACAGCATCATCATCATCATCATCAGCATCAGCATCAGCATCAGCATCATCATCATCAGCATCATCATCATCAGCAGCATCAGCATCAGCATCAACATCATCATCATAATCATCGGCAACATCAGCATCAGCGTCAGCATCATCAGCATCATCATCATCAGCATCATCATCATCATCGTCATCATCAGCATCATCACAATCATCAGCAGCAGCATCATCATCAGCATAAGCATTCATAATCATCATCATCAGCATCATCATCAGCATCAGCATCAGCATCATCATCATCGTCATCGTAATCAGCATCATCATCATCACCATCATCATCATCATCATCATCAGCATCAGCATCAGCATCATCATCATCATCAGCATCATCATCATCATCATCATCATCATCATCATCGTAATCATCATCATCAGCATCATCATCATCCTGCTTCTCCTCTCCTCCTCCTCCTCCTATCCTCATCATCATCATCATCATCATCATCATCATCAACAACATTATCACCATCAGCATCATCAGCATCATCATCAGCAGCAGCATCATCTCCTCCTCCTCCTCCTCTTCCTACTCCTCTTCCTCCTGTTCCTCCTCCTCCTCCTCCTCCCCCTCATCCTCCCTCCCTCCCTCCCTCCCTCCCTCCCTCCCTCCCTCCCTCCTCCCTGCTCGCCCTGCCAACACGACCGACGTCGCGTTTCTAGTCACAGCGTGGCTCCCCAGAGGTCTGGACCTCTTCCTGGGCACTGGACCAGCCTTTTAACACCGAGTCGCTTTTGGAAGGCCCCAGGGCCCGGCGAAGGCCATCGGGGGCCCGAAGAACAGGGTGAAACCTTCCGCCGTGTCTTCGTTCACGTCGAGGGGACGTCACCCCCCACCCGCCGACGTCCTGGGAGATCGTGGACCGAGACGCGAACTGAAGCGGACGATGGCTGCCCGCGGCGCCACAGCTTCCTGGGGGTCCCAAAACGGTGCGTCAACAGACCGCGCGGTGACCTCGAATTCAGAAAGGACCTCACCACACGGTCCTGGTTGCCTGATACATCCTCGGAGAACGACTCAAGTTCCAAACCAGTGCGGTGTAACTCCGAATCCCCACTGATTTACCACACCGTGTGGGGGTCCCCGATAACCCCCAATGGCTGTCGTCGTCTAGTTTTCGGGTCATAGCTCGGATCTCGAATGGCCACTCGGAGCGATCAGGGCACCCCCAGAACGCGTCCATCGAGGCGCAACTGCTAAAGGAATCCCGAGGCTGGAAGGCCGCTGAGAACTACTTAACGGAGACGTCCGAAAACCTCAAACTACGAACTTCGAATCCCCCCCACGTCCCCTCCCCGATGCATACGCATCTACGTCTTATACAACAAACGATCCCCACTGACTTACCACGCGGTGTGGTCACCGCACAGCTGGGGGGAGGGGTGGGGGGGGGCGACTCCTCCCCGCCAGCATCCCTCCTCCGACGCTCCACCAGGGGGCGAGGTGCGGGAGCACGGAGGACAGCACGACGTCCGCCACGTACGCGGACACCTGCCGCTCGATGTCGCTGAGCCTGTAGAAGGCCTCGCCGCATCAGGGGCGCGCTTCCCCCTCCGCATCGACGCCCTCCCTTGGTGTAGCCGTTCCTGGGAGCCTTCGCGTTACTCGCAGGCGTTTGTGTCCGTTCCACGCTCATTCCACGTTCGTTCCACTTCCGTTACGCCTCCTTTCGAAAACCCGCTCCACGTCCTCCA